TTTTTCTAAAGTAAATCAAAACCATACAGGCACACACACTGTACCTTCTCTCAGATACACAGACCTAGGAATAAGAACACACATTACAAGAGAAGCATTATAGAGTCTACAGGAAAACTACTCAAGTAGCTTCCTGTGAATGCATAGTAATCCTACCACTGAGTCCTCTCCACTTGTTTTAAAAGCTGTTTGTTGAGCATGAGTTGGCACCCCTGATGTTTGGGGCAGAACCTGAAGCTGTCAGCAACTCCACCAGCACTTGCTTCTACCCAACTAATTAATGTGTAAACTATGTCCATGCATAGTCTAGAAATAGCAAGGGATTGACCATTCAGACATCTCTTGAAAAACATCTGGTTCAATACTTGTCAGACTCTCTCTAAACTAATCATTATATTTGGTTGATGAACTCAGTCCTACAGTCCTTGAGTCACAGCAGAAGCTCTACAGGAGATGGAGGGGTACTCGTATTCCTATAATTTAAGTTCCTTGCTGGGGAAGTTTCTGTAAGGGTGAGCTTTGTACACTGCATTATTTTTATGACTATTTGAGCCTGATTTGAGTTTTTCTTTGGAATGGCTTTTTCATGGAAAAATAGTTTCTTCAAAATAAATACTTTTTTTTTTTTTCCTAGAAAAGTCCAATTCTAGATTTCTGATCACATGTAAAATTAATAAACTTCATTTTTACTAGAAATATTACATTGACCTGTCTACACTACCTGAATGGGAATACCCCTTTGCCTTGCATTTCTTTAACTGGTCTGAAAGGCAGTGGAATTGGTTAAAAACATTGTGTTGGATACCAGGTAGGCCGTGGCTGCTCAGAGAGCTGTTGTCTGATGTGCCTGTCTCTACTGCTGAACTGGAAGGGCCTTAGCTTTCCCATATGGCCATACAGCTCTCCTGGAGACCATGCTGTGCTGTGGGATACCTTGGTGTGTTCTGTGGAAGCTGCCTTCCAGCCACGGAGTCTGACCCAGAAGTGAGATCAGGGTTATCAGGCTGCCAAGTGCAGTGTTTGAGGCAGTGTAACGTTGTGGGAATAAAAGCAGTTCAATAGTGTACTGACTCATACCAAAATTTCTCAGGTCAGGTCACCAAACAAAAATTAACCAACTTTGGTTTCAGTAATGTAAAAATATTCCATTTCAAATGACACAAAATGCACTGATGTTCACAAATAAGGTGGGGGTTTTTTTGTTTTGTTTTTTTAAACTTGTGAACTTCTGTTCCACAAAGAGTCTCTAATTTCAGTTTTTCTCCCTGAATTGGGATGAGAGCAAATGTTGAAATACTGGAATTTCCTCCTTCCTGAGGAGGAGGCCAGTTTCAGGGTTAGGACAGCTGACTCTGAAGACCTCTACACTGGAGCAGGGCAGGTGATGGTGGGGCAGAGGTGATGGAGAGGAGGGGGCCAGGCAGGCAGAAGGAGAGAAGTGGGAGGCAATAATTAGTCTAGCATCAGTGAGGGCTAGAACAGAAGAATAAGGAGGAGAGATCAGAAGTTTCTACTTAGCTCCCTGGGCAGTAGGATCTGCTACATTTCCATGCTGTGTTATGCTGCTGGCTGTGCTTAGCTCAGCACCTCCTGCTTTGCTGAGTGACCCATAGACATACAGGCTGGTGCTGGACTGAGAGCTGCTGAGGAGAGAGAGCTTGAAGTGCTTCACATAGGGGGCAAATCTGGGTGAGGTGGAGCTGAAGTTCACACCAGTGCACAACTAGGCAGTGCTGCGTGGTTTCACTTCTCACTGAGCAGCTGAGTCCTTCTGTGCTAATTGAACAGAGCTGAATGTAGGACCAAAAGATGAGCATTTCTCAGTTCCTGTCCCTGCTCTGAGCAGGGTGCTGCAGCCTTTGCAAGTTAGAGAATCTCTCAGCCACTTAAGTCTTTTTCTGCAAAGTAAGAAAGAACAGGAATACTTTTTTTCTGGTTAGACGGGACAGGAGCACTAGTGACTGTTCCTAACACACTGCAGAGTGTTTATGATGCTGATCTTTTATTATTTAACAAGTTTCCTAACTTTTTTTTTTAAAAAATATAATAAATTGATACACTGCATCCATCAGCAGTGCCCTCCAGGAATAAGTAGCTAATTAGAGAGCAGGACTGTGAAAAGACAAACCCGGGTTATGCGCAGAACAGGTTCCTCCAGTATTTATTGCCTAAGTTACTGGCCAAGCTTCCTTGTAAGTAATAGTCAAATAATCGGCCTGGGTCCTTTTGTAAATGGTTTGAGTCTGTGTGGTCCTCCTTTGTCAGAGCAGCTCACGGTTTCTGAAAGCTTCTGAACCCCCTGTTCTGAACAGCAGAGCCTGGTGGCACCAGCTGCTTCTGCCTGGAACAAACATTTGCATGTGACATTAAAAAAAGAAGGCCAATTTCAAAATGTATTTGCTTTTCCTTATCCCTTCATTTTTCAACCATTCTTGCAACTCTGGAAGTATTGGGAAGATGAATGTATTTAGCTTTTGCTACAAGCATCTTTTAAACAAGTAAAGCTGGAAGAGCAGAAAGAAATCTTTCCTTCAGAAATGTAACAGGAGCCAGTGTTTGGAAATATTTTAACAATAGACCATATGGGAGTCCCAAACTATTAAGCTTTATTATTCAGAAGGCGGAAAATGTGGTTTGATATTCAATTGATATACAGCATAAATGAGAGCCGCAAACTCGGCTCCCTTGAGCTGGGATTCAGATGTTCACTTGAATATAATAACTAACACTTTGGCCTAGTTCCACAGAATGCATCCAGCTTGCTGATCACAAGCCAAGAAACTGTAGGCTTTTTTTTTTTTTCCCCCCCTCTCTTCTCCAAAGTACTTTCCTCTCCTGCCAGCAAGAGCTTTTGGCCTGAATATAAATCTCCTGATATTAGATGCATATAGAAAATGGGGAGGATGCTTACAGTGCTCAGCAGCAGGGCTGTGTGTCTGCATGTGTATTTGTTTTGCTTTTGCTTTAATGATAAGGTTTTCCCTCCATGATGCACTGTCAGGGGACTATGTTGGTCATCCTAGGTGGGAGCTTCTTTGTTCCTGTTTCACTGTTTGTTTCTTAGTGCTGTGGGAGCAGGTGAACGTCTTTTGGGGTGACTGTGAAGTAGTGCCAGAGATTGTGAGAACATGGAATTTGTTGGAGAGAGAGACTGGAAGTGGTTTCAGTTTCTTTTTTCTTTTTTCTTTTTTTTTTTTTTTTTTTTTGCCTGATTTCACTTGCGTATATTTATAATTGCCTTTTCACCTTTCTATCATGTCTCTCTTAACTTCCTCTCCTATGGGGAAAAGAACCTGTAAACGTTTTTATGAAATACTCCATACATGGACTAAGATTGCCCATATGCAAAGAGAGGCTTGGTAGTTACACAGGTACTGTGGTCAAGTAATGGGAGGCTGGATCCCCTGCTATTTTTTTGACACAGGAGTCCTGATTTATGCCACACACGGGTAGGACTAGCTTTGTCAGTGTGAACGTGGGGTGTGTGGTATGAATAAGGAGTTGCAGGGACACAAAAATGGTCTTGTAGGTCTCGCAGTTGAATGCTGTCCCAGAACACTGAGTTCTGTGCTGTCTTTGTCAGATTGCTCCTTTGAGAGACCAGTATCATCCTTGGAAATGACTAAGCTATGTCCACTGAAACTTTCTGCCCCATGCCCCTCATCAGAACCCAACTGCCAGGGCACAGACCTCAGGCATAAAAAATCATGCAGATGGTGATGTTTACCAAATCAAGTCATACTCCAATAGCCTAGAAGCAACCTTAGCAGAGTGTGTTTCTGTTTCCTCCCTGCAACACATGCAACATGAGACAGCTTTGTATATATTTTAAGTTGTAGGTGTTGAAGATTTTTCTCAGATTTTTGTGCTGCAGGACTTGACAAGTTTCTATAAGTAACTCTCCCCTCCAGTTTTGTGACAGACATCCTCAGCTATTTTGGGTCCTGTCTTGTCTAGTCTCTCAGTATATGGAATCAACCAAGGAACCTTCCCTAAGGTCTCTGATTTCCCCTGAGCAGGGTAGGAGGTTCCCATATTTCTCTAGAAATGTGATGAGCCAAAGGAAAAGTCTTTCACTTTTCATGGAAG